AGTGTATTCGTACTGGTCCAAGTAGTGCTACTTATTTGCCTTAGGTCCTTACTTCCCTAACGCTTAATTGTCACTGGCTTGATAATTGTCTATCTGTGTATATCTGTGGAGCGGGCGGTTCAACTGTTTCTTGTTTTCTGCGTCTCATGTTATCTGGGTCACTTGTTATCTGCGTTGCGGCTGTTCTTCGGTCAGGAGATATCCACATCAATTTGACATTGACAATTCTGGGGGGAGGGGGGTGGGGGTGATAACTAGCTTCCTAGTATTGATAGTTGTCACTGTGACAGGCTTCACACACTGTACCCATCTGGGGAATCAAACCCGGGTCTGCAGCGTCCCGAGAGAAAGCTTTAGTCAGTAAGCTAGTCCACCGCCCAAAACTTATGAGGAAAATTAATGTAATTGTTCTGTGATTAAATGTTTTATCGATTGTTGGAAAAATAGTAGATGTCTTAAAACCAGAACAAAATAAGTTCGTCCTGATACCTTATGTCACACTAAACTAAATGTGAATAGATCCGGGTTAGAACTGGTCTTCAAAAATTCTTACTTCTTGTATAAGGCGACGAACGGGATCGGGTGGTCAAGCCTGCTGACTTGAGTGCTCCGTGTCATCTTATGCCAGCCTATGCTCATTATGTTAATCTCTGGATTGTGGCTGCAATACGATCACTTAGAGACCACCAACATGCTGAATATGTCGAACAAGCAAACATGAGACAAATCACAATGCTTTTTATGAATTCTTTAAAAAAAGTTCCCCATAACCCGCGAGCCTATAACACAGTTAAATACTCCCAGTACCATCTGCCACTCACATATTAATTTCGAAACCATTATCTATCTTTTCTTAAGTTTTAAAAGTGAACGGAATGGTGAAATGGTGTTATAAAAGACATATATTAAGAAGGAATTTGCTGTGAATCTGAATTTAAGTTTAATTCTGTCACCTTCTGGAATTTTGAATGTCTGCCTCATCATCCCCGCTGCGGAAACAAGATGAATTTTCAGCGTTATCTCATGTTTAATGTACTGGGAGACTTTCAGGAACGCCAACAGTGGTGTAAATATTAATTTATCTCTGAGGCATGATACGGAAAGAGCAATATATACAAACCACCAAATGAAATGTCAGTTTGGAATTTTACGTCCCAGAAACGGATAACTGTAAACTCATTTAATGTTTTGATTGTATATTTTTGACTACAACTCCAATTTTACCTGAGCACAGACATTCCTACATCTTTGGGATGAAATTCAGAGGAGACTGAATAATATCATACCAAGGCCGAACAGAGCCGATTTATTGCGCCAGGCCTTTGTCAGAGTATGGTTCCAGGTGCCAGTGGCCTTTGTCAATAGATTGGTGAACTGCATGCATAGACGCTGTGCTGCAGTTATTGCCGCTCGTGTTGGTCACACTAGATACTGAAGTCAAGAGACTGAATGGACTGCAAACGTTCACGTAATGTCTTGAAATTGTGCTGAGTTATTCATTGATGTGTCAAGATATTGTACACAAAATTGTTTTTGATCCGCTTAATATGGCCATTTGTGTACTGATTTGATTACCGTGCCTATCTAACCGAATCTGTGGTGTACTTGTTAGAGCGTCCGCCCGGAAAGCGGAAGGTCGCGGGTTCGATCCCCGACCGCGTCATACCAAAAGACGTTAAAATATGGTACTTGTTGGTCCCTGCCTGACGCTCGGCATTAATGGGTACAACAAGGACTGGTCGGCTCGGAGTCAGTATAGTGTGCCTATCTCATTTTGAATTCGTGCTGACGGGTTTTTTTGCTGCTGAGTATATTAACTGAATTGCATCGATAAGGAATAATGCATCCAGGGATGCATTCTGTGTTTGAAACTGGGTAGCATATCCATCAGTTTACTATCACCCACGTGTGTACAGTGTACAGAACTGTACATTCTGTGAGGATCGACTGACGTCATCTACGCGTTTAGGGTATCAACATCTACGACTCCAGCAGTGCACCAGGAAACACGTCAGACATGGGGGGGTGGGGGGTGGGGTGTCCTTAGACGATGAGGCACATTTCCTCCTTGAGCGATCCAAACAGAGGACTGTGGCGGTATAGAGTGAGTTAATATTTAACTAGTGGTTACACAGAAGACCCGGGTTCGAATCCCGACATGGTTTCAATACGTGGAGCTCTTTTTGGATGTTCCTGATATTGCTGTAATATAGCTTAAAGCGGCGTACAACTTCACTCACTTACTCAAAACAGGGATCGTGGCTACAGGCGTGGAAATAATCCTCACCACAAGCCATGTGTTTTTGAACGTTACTGAAGACGATCGCTTTCTTTTTGCCTATAAAAATGTGAAAGGCACAACATAAAAGAAAAGTATATAATATATATTTATTTCAAACGAACAAAATAATACCTAACACTGTTCATGTGGTTTAACTGAAAGGCACATAAAAAAACAATCTACGCCATCAGAGAGCTCTATATCACATAATACTTTCCAGATGAAGAGCCAAAATACTAATCTGACTGTTGTACATATCAAATCCAATGTTTATGCCCTACCAAAAGTACCCGTGAAGGTCTGGGTTAGAATGAACCTTCAGTAACCCATGCTTGTCGTAAGAGGCGACTAACAGGATCGGGTGGTCCGGTTCGCTGACTTGGTTGACACATGTCATCGTATCCAAGTTGCGTAGATCGATGCTCATGCTGTTGATCACTGGGTTGTGTGGTCCAGATTCGATTATTTACAGCCCCCCGCCATATAGCTGGAATATTGTGCGGCGTTAAACAACAACCAACCAACCCAAAGGAAACACAAGGACCATAAAACAACTCTGAATCAAAAAACGTTGTTGATTGATTTTTCTTCTCAGTTGTCAGTATAAAACCTTTGAATATGATTTGTTGAAAAACGCTTGATTTTGAGTCCTTATTTGAACAAATACCGCAATCGTGATTGTCCGTAACTTTTTTCATAGTTTTTCTGTTTTATACTATATAACAAGTGACAAGTCAGTGACAAGTGATAAGTTTATTAGTATTTGGGGCCACGTGACCCATATTACGAATACAGAACCAGCTGCACACAGTGCGCATGCCGGTATACCATTCACAACAATATCAAATTGGCAAATTTCTTTTTGAATACAGCGACAAAGATTTGATAAGTGTTGTGTAAGTGGATGATAGCAGCCGATTCCTTTTCTGAAGCAGACGGATTCTTATAATAATAGTCAGGTAAATACAGTTGTCTGTTTCTCTTATAATAAGGAGAAAGAATTAAAAAGTGAAATTCGTCTTCAATGCAGCCCAGGAGACATTTTGTACATAACAATGCATCATGGCATTTAAATCTGCCTAACTGAAATTTAAATAAAGGAGATGCACAGCGAAATTTACAATATACCCTCAGCAGTCCAAGATATTTTTATGAGTTAAACTTCTTTTTAATTTCTCTCACGACGTTTCGAGACCATTCCAGGTCCCTTCACCAGAATGGTCTCGAAACGTCGTGAGAGAAATTAAAAAGAAGTTTAATCCATAAAAATATCTTGGACATCAATGTACATATTCTAAATGCCACTGAAAGACATCATACCCTCAGCAGGTCCTTTTCGGGAAACATTTCAAGAATATACTTTTCAAGATCCAAAACAGATTGAAAACCACTATAATGTTTCAGAAATGATGACCCTGAGATCTTGCCATGCCAGTTTTTATATTGCATGTCCCTACGTCCTTGTGAAAACAAATTCATGAAAACCTTGATACTACCACAATCTTGAGCGGTACTATATAACCAAAACTGTCAAAAGCATGCACTGGAAGAAAACATAAATTTACAAAATTTACAAAGTTGCATATTTAGACATAAATTTATGATAATGTATATATTATCGTTATAACCATTTTAGTGATTTGTGATTTTTAACGTCATATTTACACACAGGCATTGTAGCCTTGTAAGATTCTTAAAGTATGTACAAACCCGTGAAGATCCAGGTTCGACTTAACACGATGGGTAATCAGGCTCGCTGACTTGGTTGACACCTGTCATCGTATCCCAACGGAAACAGATCTGGGTTCAAATTGGTCTACAGCAACCGTTGTCGTAAAACGCGACTAATGGGATCAGGTGGTCAGGCTAGCTGACTTGGTTTACACCTGTCATCGTATCCCAATTGGATAGATTGATGTTCATGCTGTTGATCACTGGATTGTCGTGCCCTGACTTGATTATTTACAGACCGCCACCATATAGCTGGGATATAGCCGAGTATGTCGTTAAGCAACACACAAACAGGTATGTACAAGTAAGAAAGGGTATACATTGTTAAAAGAGGTTACGATTTGTCTAGAACGCTTGTGCTGCTACATCTTTTCATGGTTCCTGTAATTTTTCCATCCTAACCAAAGTAAGGCTTCATTCATCCCTGAAGAATAAGGTTCTGGGTGATTGCTATTTCAGTAGGAACCATCCAAATTGCTGATTCTAAACCAATCAAAAACTGGGTTTATTTACCAAACCAACATGAAAATTGTGTTGTCCATATCCAGGCTAGATCTAGTCGTATTTATGTTATGTGTGAAAATGAGACATCAGCTGCTTGTCTTTATTCAACCTGCATGGAGCGTAAGATTTCAATCAACCTTGTGCTCCTTTCACAGAACATCAAGAGCTATTTCGATGCCGTTCTTGGAGACATAGTGGCTCATTCAACTTGGCATCCAGAGGGTTTTTCCGGGTTTTTTTGTTGTTTTGTTTTGTTTTGTTCTTACTAGGGTTTGTTTTGGGTTTGTTTTGATTGGGGTAGTGTTTTGGGTTTTTTTGTCGTTGTGTTTTTGTTTGGTTGTTTTTTTTTGTGTTTTTGGGTTTTTTTTTTTGTTGTGGTTTTTGTTGTGTTGTTTTGTTGGGTTTGTTTTTGGGGGGTGGGGGGTGTTGTTTTGTTTTGTTTTGTTTTTTCCTTTTATTTTTTGGGGTTGCTTTTTTATGCATCTCAGTCAGAACAATTATCGCGTTGCATAAAGGTTTGGTGGCCTTGATAACATCATTTTATGCATAAAAAACGTTTACGGGAGTAAGAAAGAGATTTGGGGCAGTCCGTGTTACTCTAGCCAAATGTTTGACAAATAGACGGATGCTTGACGTCGCAATTTTCGTCATCCAGAATCCAGGCATCAAATTTCAGACAGTTTTGACTGCCCGATTTGGAAAATCCTTGGACAGGTGCACCATCCAACCAGAACCACCGGTCATTGTTGTCCTTGTCACGCCCTCCAAGGTAAACATCGACGTTTTTGTTGCCTATTACATCTGAAACATCCAGTGATAACAATAAGCACAAACAGTTGGAATGTTTTCAGAGATTACTGTATACTCTCCTATCACATGGTACCCGTGAAAATCCGGGTTAGAATTGGATTTTAGCAACCCATGCTTGTCGTAAGAGGCTTGTAACACAGTGTGCGAAATAGCCACTGGCCCGCTAGCCCGTGGCTAGTAACAATCCAGTCGGGCCAGTAAATCTCCAGTCACAGGCCCGACTGACTAATGAATTTTCAAGGGATCATTTGTTTTGTTTTTTATGGTATTTTACCTTTTTGCATTCTTTTGCTTCGTTTTTACATTCAAAGTTCGGGGTAGTAAATTATTTTACTGGCTATTAACTTTCAGGCATACCCAGCCCGACTGGCTAGCCAAATTTAGAAAATATTTCGCACACTACTGTAACAAGTTTGCTGATTTTTATGTCAGTCGCTGGATTGACTCCTCTTCGTACACCTGGAATATTGATAAGTGAATAAATATATGTATGAATATAAGTATATTTTAAAAGATGAAAAGTAAATTGATAAATAATTGAAAAACCAAACAGCAGTTGACAATTTCATTCGTTGAAATACGCATTCACTCCCGTTTGGCCAGCTTCTTAACTTTTTAGATTTCTCAGACTGTCGAACATCTGAAATGGCGACCTAATGTACATTTCCCCAGGCAGATTGTGCTGGGATGAAAAGGTACCGCCTTCCACGACTCAACCCCTCCAGGCGAACAAGCGGGTAAACATGATTCAAACATCAAGGTCGTTGCACTTCCACAACATTACGGCAGTTACGTTGCAGAGATAAACTCCACTCATTGTTAGTGGGCCTTAATATTACTGTATACAGCATAAGATGATCACACATTACAAGCTTTCCGTGAAGGTCCGGGCTAGATCTCCAGTAACCCATGCTTGTTCTAAGAGGTGACTGGGGATTGGGTGGTCAGACTCGTTGACTCGTTTAACCTTATACAGACTTGTGTAGAAATATAATACCACCAAGTTCGTTTACATGACACTTAATATTTCGCACTATAATAGAAATTGTAACATAATTTACTCTTATTAAAACGAAAACAAAATTAAGGACTCGGTCATGTCTCTGTCTTTCAGGTCTTGGACCATCCTACACTGCTCCGGAGGCCACGTGTTTTCCACTGTCGACTTAGAGACGCGTGGCTATTGTTGAAGTTAGAAACGATGTTGCAACGGGACATATCTGGGCATGGAAACAAATAGCTTGCCATTGTTTATTTCTAAAAGTCTATGTCTCTCCTTGTCTAGAAAATTGCCTTTTCGGAATGTTTTACGCGTGCATTCTGGTATGGTAGAGTATGATCACCTCTTTCGACCAACATTTTAAAACCTGCCTTTGGATTCGGGTTGTGTTTAATCAATGCAGACATGCTCCTTTTGGTTGTCATTTGAATGTATTTGTTGAAAAGGAACCAACGTTTGTGCCAGTTGCAATCATTTTTGTGGGAGTTACATACGAACAATCAACTGTATAACCGTTGGTAAATGACCAGATGGTGCCCTCATGAATACGTGCAAACACTAAGTTGCGGGTACAACAACGTGCGGGAATCTTGGACAAAGTACCGTGACTATGTGTCCACCAAGCTGTGAATGGGTACCTCGTAAGGATGGGAAAGCCACAGTAACTTGGTGCGCCAAAATGGCTGCACGAGTTGTATGATCCCCAGGGAGTTGAGATTGAAAAATACGATGTGCTGTTGAAATTGACAACCTATGATAGAGTGAAAAACAAAGCGCCTTTGAACAGCTGAGCTGAGCTGGATATTTGCGATATATAAACATCACATTATGATAATAATAATAAACACGAAATGAAATCTGTCCTCAATTGGTTTTCCTTTGATTAATTTAAGCTTCCCAAACTGCTAGCAAACGTACATAATGGTATGCCATTTTATTCCACATATACATTTAAATACGTTGTTTAATTTTATCAAACTGCATATAATCATTCTGAATACGCTTTGGGGGTTATCTTTATCAAAGGGGAACCTTTGTCATTTGTTATGCAGCTATATGTATACTAACGAAAAAAAGCAACTGTGTATAACATAAAACTGCATAAAATAAAAGTAATTTGAAAACTTATAAAATAATCCTATTTAAACATGCAGTAAAGCACTTTGCATGGAATTTGACGTCACGTATTTGATGTACTTTGTGCACAATGTACACATTTTTCGTACACACAATGTTATTCCATCCTAACATGCACGTATGTCATGTCACTGCTTACAGAAAATCGGCCCCTCCGCGCCCAGGGTATGCTGGAGACTTGAATGGCCCAAAATGAAGTGGGCAGACATATTGGTGTCCATCGAAACACGATCTCATCCCTATGAAGACGTTTTCAGCATAATGAGAACACGAGAGATTTGCCTTGGACAGCAAGACGACCTCATTCAGTTGACCCATCTAAGCAATTGATTCCATACTGCCAGTTTGACTGATAGGCCAATTCCTGGCCCACATCCAATCAGTTCCAGGACCGTACGCACCATGGAGGAAGCACAACATCCGGCCCCAGCGGCCTGCAATATGTCCAATTTTGCTCCAACGTCACCGACAGGCACATCTTGCCTGGTGCAGACAGCATGTACGGTACGGAGATTAGATTGTGATGGTGTTTTGTTCACTGACGAGTCGAGATTTCATCTGGACAGCTCAGATGGCAGGTCAAGGGTGTACAGACGGCCAGGTGAACGGTATGCTGACACGTGCGTTGTTCAACGACGACAGTTTGGTGGCGAAGCGTTATGGTATGGGGAGAATCACATCTCATGGTCGGACATCACTTGTTATTGTCAATGGCAATCTGACAGGTCTGTAGTAAAAGAATGAGATCTTTGGGCCTCATGTGCAGCCGTTCATTCAAGGACAGGGACGTAGCTTCACGCTTCAGCAATACAATGCCCGTCCACATGTCCCTCGTGTAGTGAGAGCTTTCCTGAGACAGCAGAACATTCCGGTACCTCCGTGGCCTGCTGTTTCACCGGAACTGTCCCCTATCGAGCACGCTTGGAATAAAATGGAGACACGTTCACGTCAAACCAAGAAACAGCCATTTATGTTAGCTGAATAGGGACAAGCGTTGCTTCAGAAATAGAAGAACATTCACCAGACTTTCTTCAATCGCTTAGTGTCGCCTACGCGTTGTCATTGTCAAGCCTACATCAATGCCAATGGTTGACACACACGATACTGAATTTGTGAACTTACTTTAGACACCACATCTCTTCAAGAGCGTGTCACGAGACCTAGTGTCAAATCATGCATACAGATCTCGATATTATCCTGTCAACAGTTAAGGAAAACACCACAGATCATTACGAAATGGCAAAGCATCAAATAATGCACAGTTACTTCATTCCAGTAGTATATATACTCTTTTAAAAAGTAGGGAAACCTGAACTTTCAATTTGGATAGGAAATATAAGCGTTAACAAACATTTCAAAGACAGACTTCTTATAAACGAACGCACCACCATTTATATTTATCACCACCCCTAAACACAACGCCTGGAATGCACGTGCACAGCACAGTGGCCACATACACGTGCATGGGGTATCATTCCTGATTTTGACGGTTTTCAAGGACGATGGGCATTTTAGAAGTTTAGTTGATGAAGAATAATGACAATTATTATGGATATACAACTTCTTCGGGCTCAGGGAACATAAACAAACATCGAAGGTACATCAGCCCATATCCCCTTTGAGGCCAGTAAACAACTTCGAATGTACCTGTATAACATGCGGCATCATTACACAACGAGTAAAGTGCAAGAATTATATCAGTATATTGTGTGACCGACAGTACTTCTAAACACAAAAGACAACAGTGCATATATATTTACGTACATTAATCTAAACATATATCAACACGATGGAGCACAATATGACCGTACAATATGTGCTGTTACAATTTCAAGAATAGCTTTGCTCACAGGATAATACACACACACACACTCACAAACACACACACATTCTGACAACGTGCAGAGTGCATATATATTAACGTACATTAATCTAAACACATATCAAACCGATGGACCACAACATGACGATACAACATGTGCTTTTACAATTTCAAGTATATCTTTGCTCACAGGACAATGCACAAATTCTGACAATGTTCTGAGGGCTTATATATTTACGAACATTAATCTAAACATATATCAACACGATGGACCACAATGTGACGATACAATATGTGCTGTTACAATTTCAAGTATATCTTTGCTCACAGGACAATGCACAAATTCTGACAATGTTCTTAGAGCTTATATATTTACGAACATTAATCTAAACATATATCAACACAATGGACCACAATGTGACGATACAATATGTGCTTTTACAATTTCAAGTATATCTTTGCTCACAGGACAATGCACAAATTCTGACAATGTTCTGAGGGCTTATATATTTACGAACATTAATCTAAACATATATCAAACCGATGGACCACAACATGACGATACAACATGTGCTTTTACAATTTCAAGTATATCTTTGCTCACAGGACAATGCACAAATTCTGACAATGTTCTTAGAGCTTATATATTTACGAACATTAATCTAAACATATATCAACACGATGGACCACAATGTGACGATACAATATGTGCTGTTACAATTTCAAGTATATCATTGCTCACAGGACAATACACACATTCTGACAATGTGCAGGGTGCATATAGATTTACGTACATTAATCTAAATACATATAGGACTTATCACTAATTCTGGCGATATGCTACGAGGGGCGTTCAAAAAGTAGTCAGCCTCACCCAGAAAATGATACAAATGCAGCTCTTTTTATGTTTTATTTTTCTACATATTACCTGTCAACCTCAAGCAAATTGGTTTTGCTATGTTCTGCCTCACGAGCCCAATTTTGTTTGACTTAAAATGTATAAAAAATGCAATTTGAAACTACAATCGCGTG